GGAGGAGGTGTTGCTCTCTCAGAACTTGCCGACGAGACTGGACTAGCTAGATCGGCGTACATATGTTCTGAATCAGCACTTGCATTCGAGCTGACTGATGACACACTGGACACAGATGACACACTGCTAATACTTATACTGCGAGACCGAGATCGTGACCTCGAACGAGACCTCGACCTACTGTGCGACGGTGTACGAGAGTAACTGGAACTGTAACTGCTATAGCTGCTGCTTCTGCTTCGACTACGGCTGCTGTAACTACTATAACTTCGACTACGGGATTTCCGTTGTGGCTGAAATAAAATGGTGATAAATCAACATTAACATAATACTGAGGTACCATAAATCAATTTGCATGGATTGATACTTTGAGAGATATAGAAAAAAACTTACTTAGAAGTTAGTAAAATTTTGGCCAAAAGCTAAATATGCTTCTATTCATTTACAAAATATTGGAGTAAAAGACTTTTAAACCTCAAGTTTCAGGAGCAAAATAACCAGATACATCATGTACTGCAGAAGATAATTTATATTGAAATAACAGTACAATATCAGATGTGTTGATTAAATAATAATTTTCATTTGACAATTACTACACAGGTAAATTTTTCACATCCAATCATTACATCAACAATGTTGCAAATTGTTGGGTGCCAGAGGGGCTTTAATTTTTCATTGCATTACATTACATTACATAACATTATTTTAGTTGAACTTGAACTTGAATTTTCAAGCTAAGCTAAGTTGATCAGTATCTAATTGCATCAACTGGGTTTATGTGTTTGAATAATTAGTACTGTAAAATGACTAATTTTTACTGGGTTTAAAATTCGCTGATTTACCATTTCAGGCATATTCAGTGGGTTTTAAATTCACGGTTTTATCATTTAGATAATGTGTTCTAAGCTAAATTTTACATATTCACTGGGTTTTAATTTAGCGCATTTTCTATCAGCGAAATAACAAAATTAAAACCCAGTGAATAATTAATCCTCTAACAGTAGAAGCAATTTTAATTTGCACAATCTGCTTGCATGTTTCCGGACACCACTTGATGATATATGAATGAATGAAGATGTATGAATGGACTTGTTGTACTATTTCAATTATTGATATTACACAATCACTTTATCAAACAAGATACTATTTACTTTTATTATACATTCACCATTGACCATCACCTCTAAGTACATTTGACAGAATACAAATCGTTTTCAAGCAATCAATCAGACCCCTCTCTAGTGAAACACCCTCAAACTGATTACTAAATTCTGTTAAATTTCAACAGTGACCATTCGCGTACTACCTACCGGCTTTTTGGGGCTGGGAGGCCGCACTGCCTGCTTAGGTTTTACGACTGCAACCGGCTTCTTTGCGGGCTGGGCAGTCCTCTTTGCAGAAGCTGGCTGCTTATTGTCGCTGAAATAGATCACAGACGTTTTATAACACGAATTTATCAACAAATGAGATAATGTGTTGATTAAGCTCTTGGTCACAGCATTTCACAATTTATTTAATGAGACATATTTATCTACAGTCAATATTTCCTTACCTTGCTTTAATCTGAGGCTTTAGTTTTGTTGATGATGATGATAATGGTGAAGGCGGCAGCGGAGGCCTGCTGGGTTGTTTAATTGCTGGCTTGGTAGGTTGCTGCTTTACAGGGGTCTGCTTAGCAGGAGGCTGTTTAGCAGGTGGTTGCTTCGCAGGCAGTTGCTTAGCAGGCGGTTGCTTCGGAGGTGGTTGTTTCGTAGTCGGCTGTTTTGTAGCTGGTGACTTAGCAGCAGCAGGAGAAGGTAGCCGCTTGGCAGGTGGCTTGCCGGCGGGTCCACTCTTCGAAGCTGGCTTTGATACTGGCGGTCTGCTTTTCCTCGCCGGCGAAGGTGTGCGAGACGGAGAGCGAGAACTTGAACGTGAGTATGAGTCGCTGCGGAATGAACTACCTGAAGACGATCTGGATCGGCTTGAGCGGCTTGAATATGAAGAGTAAGATGACGATCTCGACCGAGATCCAGACGAGCTGAAATGAAGTACAATATGATAAATCAAAAATTAAGATCAAAAATATTAAAAAAATCATACATGCTGGTTTTATATCACTTTTAACACATCAACTGCTGTTTATTACGGCTAACCACAGAGACTTTTAGCTGGCAATGCATTAACTTTATAATACAATACACAAAGGGAATTACAGTACTGTGAATCAGTATGTTTATATTAAGAAATGAAACCCACACAAGCGAACCACTTACTATGATGAAGAATAGGACGACCTGGATGAATACGATGAGTATGAAGATCGCCGTCTCCTCCTACCGCGAGAACGAGATCTTCTTGGTGTTGCAAGTGGTTTTTTGGGTGACTTTGATCTTCTCCATGGATCGGTCCATTCATCAGCACGCCTGGGTGCAGAAGGCGCTGCTGCTGAGGTTGCAGGTGGAATGGGCGCCCTGTCATCTCGTTGATTTCGACTATTTCTGTTATAATCCACTCTTGAATCTCTAGAATCCCTTGAATCTCTCGATTCCCTAGGTTCTCGTGCATCTCGATTATCTCGTAGCTTTTCCCTCCTCCTCACATTGGGAGACTGTGAGAAACGCTTTCTCGGTTGTCTGTCTCTTTCCCTTCTTTCCCGCTCCCTTTCCCTTTCACGATCTCTTTCTCTGTCATGCTGCCTATCCTGTAATTAAATGACAAGTTTTTATTAGAGAATGAATTAGGACCGACATTATGGACTATATATAGATATAAAAATTACAGCAAAGTGATCAGCAAAGACATGGTTAGGATCACAAATTCACAAAATAGTCCCGTTTAGAGCCTGTGCTTCCCTTCAGAAAATTGGAACAAAAATAGCAAAATTTTTTGAGTAAAAACTAAAAATTGACTCAAATTTTGTCTGTTGGCTCCAAAATTAAGGTTCATTTCCAGAAATATTTAAAAATACAAGAAAAAACAGACAAATTTGGATTAAAATAATTATTATAATTTTCATTTGCTATGTGCTAGGTTGGGGGGGGAATTGCGTCTTTTTGGAGAAAATAAAACATCGTTTTAATGCTGTGTTATCTTTTATTCTGTTTTGTAGCAATCTTTACAGAGAAATTTTATTTTGTGCCTTGATATTTGTCTATCAAAATGCATTTCCCATTAGTATCTTTAATGTGTTTATCTTGATGTTTAAAAATCCTGATATTCAGCAGTAATTATGTTAAAATTATAAGAAAACTAAACTATTGATTTGTAAATTTTGGAATATTTATTGAGGTTGTTTTGTAAGCCACCCTCCCTCCCTCCTTATACTTTTTCATTTAAAAGTGACGTCAAACAAAGCCATATTTGAACTTCACGTGATTGTAAACCCATTCTAACATGTTCAAGTTAACAAGTCTTCATTGTGATTACTCGTATACAATCGTAGATTGAATTCCTACAACAGCTGATCACAGAGTGATGAAATGAAACAGAGCATACCCTCAGTCAGGGACCCCCACCCCACCCCAGCAGTCAGTCAGATATCCCCAAGTATTGCGTCTCCTGTGACACATTGAAATAATTATGCATATTAATTAATCTCATTAACATTTGTAACCATCCAGTACTCACTCAGGAGATCCCTAACCCTAGTATTACCAGTAGTATTGTGAGACAAACTTACCCTATAATGATCGTATGCAGGGGGTGGTGGCAGAGGAGGAGGAGGCTGTTGTTGTTGTTGTTCAGGCTCTCTAATCCATCGGACACTAAAGTTTTCATACTGTCCTCCTTGCCAGTATTGTGACGACTCGTCATAATATTCATAGCTGGAAAGGAATAAGCACCAGATATGAATGGTAATGAAAAGGTACGCCAGGCGACGGAAACAGAAACACACTGTAAACACCTCAGAACAATTTTCTCAGTCCAGTTTATTCTGCCAGGTTTTTATACCCCAGAAACTAAAGAGCTCTGAGAAATGACATAAATCCTTGGAAAATTGACGCGATAGGTATGATCTTTTGGCTGACTACGCCATTAGGCAGCCAATGTAATAAATAGAGAAAGATGTGACAGCCAATTCTACTTACCCCGGGTAGTACTCATCACCTCTGCCATATCTCCCTCGTTGATGGTATTCATTTTCTTTATCATTTTCTCTCTCTTCGCCGTAATTCACCGGCGTACGCTTTTCCTCAAAGTCAGTACCTTGTTCTTTCCTCTTGTTTGCTTTATTTTTAAGCTACAGAAAAGAATCAGAACCCATTCTGCATTATTCTTACCCCTGCGCACCAGTGTGAAAATTCAATTAATTTCCGATAGTAAAAATAATTGTTTTTTAAGAGCATGGATTAATATAGCAAGTGTTATGTGTTTTTTTTGGGGTGCGAATTAACAAGTAATGATTCATTTTTTCTCTCTCAGTAAAATGGATAACATGATATCGAAGCTATTGGCTAGCCAATTTTAAGAAGTTGAAAATAGCGTTATTTACCAAATGTGCCAAAAATATACACTAAAATTAGAGAATTGAATAAGAACATCTACACAAAGTTGACTGCAGAGCTAAACATGAGGCAACAAGCTTAATTTTTTTTCATAATTCTTTTGACATTAATGATTTCCTTGCTGTGTTATGCCTGAGAAGTTAGAGCGAACACTAAAAGAACAAAATTTAAGGGCGGCAGTCGTAATGCCGTGGTCCTGTACGATATGGGACTCATAGCGACGTATACAACGCGTGTAAAACACATTGTTTATTTACATGAAATTCAAACACACGACTACCACTGCGCTTTAACCTTTTTTTTGAAAGAATACACTCGATAATTAACTTTTAAAAATTAACTTGGTTTGTGAATTAATAGAGTGGATTTCATTAGTTTTTACGATGATAATAAATCATTGCTGGAAAACTAACCTCCTTTGCATGTCTCAGCCCTCTTTCCCATGCAGACTCAACTACTGGTTCCTCAGGAGGTGGAGGGGGTAAAACAAAGGCTTCCTCATCTTGGCCCTGGGGGATGTGCAGTAATAACAAATCACATTGTATAACAAAATGGAAAACATGACTACTTGCTGCATACAATTAATATTTTTCAATTTACAGATGATGATGCATGAAAAAACAGATTACAATTTGTAAAAGGCTATTCTGTACTTGCCTGGCCAAAACCCCATGGACCATTTCCACCACCGAATGAACCCTGGTTCATCTGACGTTTGTTCTTATCTGGGATCAATGTATAGTTACCTGCAAATAAAATAATATTCAAGTATTTCTGGATGTTCAAGTTATTATGCAACGTACACAATTCATTGCTGGATTTTTCCCCAACGCGACATCAAGATATGGACATACCTTTATCGTTAATTCCGGGGTGGATGAACCGACATGAAGCTCCCCACGTACAATGCCCTTTGTTGAAAAATCTACATATTGGGCGTACTTGGGGTCTTCTACCGACAGGATCTTTTAGTTCACCTTCCTCTAAATCATCTTCCTGTTGATTTAAAAAAAAAAAATTATGGATATCGAGCAACCAAAATGTCAAGTGCATATTTTCTCAAATTTCAATTATAAATACAAGGTACTTCAAATTTCAAAATATCAGAAAAGGGTTGTTGTATGATG